TCCCAGTCGCTGCTGTACATGAATAGGTGTGTACAAATTTGAAAGGGGCAAGTGATAAATTTGTGCTGCAAATAATGGACAAAGAAACCTTAAGAGGTTTTATAGAAATTGGTTGCCTCTGACTGTTGTTATTTTTGAAACAAAACTCATGACATCTCCTGACTACACTTTTTCCATTTTTAAACCTTAAGAGGTCATCCCCTTTAATTTGATGATGCAAAAAAAGTTCTTTCAAAAACAAAAATTATCACAAATGAAGTAAATTCGATACAATCATTTTTAAACAATTTCACAGAAATTATGATCATAACAAGACCTCTGTTGCTGCTTCTCAGAGTTGTAAATGAGAAACTTCAAGAGAGTGAGCATACTTCACATGTACTCCAGTCTGACAATCTGTTAAAAAGGTGGTAACTGATATCAAGTTCATTCGTAGCTGTAAGCTGCTCCCACCACAGAATTTGAGTCAGTTCTTCAGTCATCTGACCCTTAAGGGTTATCTGTCACATAGCTGACATGTCAACTTGCCGACACTATTAGTCAACTTGCTGACACTACTGGTCAATTCCCCCTCAGCACATTTGAGGAAGTCTTACTGTCAGAATGTTTATTTCGGTTTAAAATATATTATGGGTATGTTCCTCTACACTTCTTTTTAACAAATGTTCCTAATCAAAAATACTTAACCTCTCATTTCATAACATATATAGCTTACCAAAAATTGTACAGTTTGATGTAATGTAATGTAAGTTCTCATGATGTATTGTAGCATTGTTACTCTGCCATAAAAAAAAAACAAAAACAAGAAGTGCTAGGGTAAGCAAGGGGGCAACTTGACCAATGGTTTTGTCAAGTTGGTTATTTGCAAAGTGACTGGGTACCCAGCATTCAGAATATCTGTACTAGCTCTTTAACCATTGATGAAATTGAAGGACGGCTTTGCTTCTTTCTCCATAATCGTAGAGAAGCTCTTCTCCCGCTTTGACATCTCTGTTTGTTTCCAGTATTAGGTGAGGTCTGTCTTTGATTGACACCAGCCTTGTTACACAATTGGCTTCCATTCTGCTGTGATTCAAAAGCCGGCCCAATCTTCCACTTTCTTTCGTAGCATCAACACTGACAAATTGAAATAACGATAACAAAGGTTAAAAACAACTAAGCTGCTCTTTCCAGTGAAGTGCATTGGGTCTTGTTCTAGTTAATCAAACCTCTAAAAGTAAAGCAAATACTGCTCCAAAGCCTTGCTAAGTGGGAGATGGGTAGGGAGTCCTTGGGTACTTTTACTCAAGTGTTGCCAAGCGTGAGAGGGGTAGGGGGTCATTGAGTGCTTCAACTCAAAAGTGTTGCTAAGTAAGAGAGGGGTAGGGGGTCAATGGGTACTTTAACTCCAAAGTTTTGCTAAGTGGGTGAGGGGTAGGGGGTCCTTTGATCTTCTCTTTGTCAAAAAAGTGATAATTCATTATAATAATAAAACAACCAGGCATGCCCAAATTGGTAGTACAATTCTAATGAAGGACCCTATGCTGGAAAACTCTGCAAATGCTATTACTGCTCAAAGGAAAAATCAGTCTGAAAACACATCTAGCTGTTACAAAATACTTGTTAAAGTACTTACCAGTACTTTTTGTCCTTGAAGTTAAAATAATACATGTAACATCCAAATTCTGTCTTTCCTTCATAGAACTTCTCTCGTTCCTTTGCAGCTTCATAACTAATAAGTTCACCAGCATATTCACACACAAATTGTCCTCTTGCAAAGTTTCTTTTGGCAAACACACCTCTGCCTTTACCCTCAACTTCTTGTACCTGGTATAAATATTGTGATAAACCTCTTAGTTTCTCTTGGCAATCAAAAAGGGTTAAAAATTCAGCCGATCATATACTACATTCAGTCACTGCACACCTTCAGATTTTATCCTTTAACTCCCATGAGTGACCAAGAAAGAATTTATCCTTACAATATTAATAAGTATCTTATCAGTTAATTCAATACCAAATTCTCAGAACTGACGTCATAAGTATTGTATAGCAGACAGTTCGGAGAATTACTGACGAGATCTTGGGAGCGAGAGGGTTAAGATGCCTTACCTCTAGACCTTCCTCTTTGCCTGATAACAGGGCCTCCTCCAAAGCTTTTTGTTTTTCACTCTACAATCAAAATACTTTACCTTAAAACAATTTATAAGTCAGGGAAAAGGAAAAACTTTGTGCAAAAACTAATGAGTGTTACAGAAAGTTAGGAAAACTATAACTTGTATGTCCAATTAGCGGTAAGTACCTGTAGAACTGATTTGCTTTTGCGATCACTTCTCCTAACAGGAAAATACTCAGACACCTCACTTTGTCGTGACTGCTTCACTTCTTTTTTCTTGCTGAAAAATTTCAACACAAAGAAGATAAAGATCTTTGGTTCAAAACCTTAATGAATGTCTGCTGCAAGCTATGAGCACTAGATAAAAAAAATCTTCTTGTTAGCCTTTTCATGTTACTAACAGAATTGTCTCTGTTAGTAGAAACAAAACTTGAAGTTATAAAGAAAGCTCAACATTAGAGGAGAGTGCAAAATTTTGAGAAACTTGACAAGATTTTTGTCCAAAGCAGAATGGACTGTTACTGACAACTGTCAATGTGTAATAAAAGGTCCCCTTTCTAAGATAAGCATACACTTACATCAATAACTTTCCTCAAATACATTAGTCTTGTCATTGTCTTTGTACAATGTTTGGAAACCCTTACCATAGTCATTAACAGAATCACCTTGTGATAAAAAGTGGAAAAGGGTAGTTCAGTAAAACTTGATAAGGCTTTAAATTTATTAAAACACTGAGTTCTAGCATCACACAAAAAAATCTGCTTCTGTACAAAGAGGCCCTTCCAGCTACAATTTATCTTGGCTTCTGAAGTGTAAACTGTTTAGGATTGCAAGTCACGCCCCCTCCCCTCCCTTCCATTTTGTCACGCTTATCTGACAGTTCAAAGTTACCCATTTAAACTCCTGGGTGAACAGAGAGACCCTTTGAGAGAGGGTCAGCAATACTTAACTTTGGGTCAAGAGGAATGGGTAGGAGACCTTACCAGAGGGTCACCTATACTTCTTTACATGAAGTGTGATTTAGCGATTTTTTTCTGGTGAATCTTGATATGACTGTTTTTTTCTTATTTCTTATCTATGAATCGTGATTAGAGATGATAAGATCTTTTTATATCCATGTGAACAGAGTTTTTTTGTTCACTGCATTTCCCACTCATTACTCAGCACCAATGCTATCACCACATTTCCCACTCCATTACTTAGCACCAATGCTATCACCGCATTTCCCACTCCATTACTCAGCACCAATGCTATCACCACATTTCCCACTCCATTACTTAGCACCAATGCTATCACCGCATTTCCCACTCCATTACTTAGCACTAATGCTGTCTTACACCTATACCTATCCTTAAAACTTCATATGATGAACTTGACTTTAATTATTTACTCATTAACTTACACTCTCTTCTTTTTCTCTTTGACTTGTGTAGGTGGACTATTTTTCCATTTTAACAGATCAAATGCTTGCTTCTTTGTTCTTTCCTCCACTTCAATAGATTTATTACCTATTTCTCTTTCTGTAGGTGGTTTTTTAGAATCTTTAGGCAAAGCTTTGTCTTTTTCACCAGTCTTTCTCTCCCCTGGCTTTACTGTGTCACTTTCTGTAGGTTCATATTCCTGCGAATTAGTCTCTGTCCCACATGAGTTTTTGCGATCATTCTTACTCAGTAATTTCTGTCCTTTAGTGTCAGTACATTTCCCTTGTGTGGCTGGTGGAGATATTTCACTTTTGTTCCCCTTTTCTTGCTTTGTTGGTGACTTGTCATTCATACTTTCCTGTGGATGCAGTAAAGAAAAAAAGTTTATTCCTACACTAAATGTTTCATATTTCTTTGTTTAAAAAACTGGAAATGGTAATACTTCTTCAACTAGAAACCACATTTACACTAGTCCAACAGCATCATGTTCCAAGGCTGGATTTAAATACTGTGTGGGTAGTCAACTAGGAATTGCTGTTAAATTATACCTCTTGCTAATATCATTGTCTCAGTCATTGCAGCAACTTGCTGACAAAGTTTTTTCCACTTGCATTCATGGCCCAAGCGTGAAGCAAATACATATACTGATGTTAGAGTGCAAAGGGTTAAATATACTAAAACCATTTTTCATTTAGTATGCTTACCATTCCTTGAACACTAGCGACCACTGATTTAAGTTTATTGGCTTCTTCTGGCAATTCACTGCTTACTATCTCTGTTTGAATCTTCTCACACCATTGCTTTTTATCTAGGATGAACAAATTTAAGATCCTGAGAGTCAAACAGATCAAACACAATTTTTGAAAATTAATACACCACCTTGCATTTTGAAATTAGTACAGGTAATCACATGGGGCCAAGTAAAATTAAGGATTAATATCATGCGTGCTTTCGGAAGTTGCTGAAATTGCCCAAGTCACTATGCGACTCGGGCAATTTCTGCAACTTCCAAAAACACAAGTGATATTAATCCTTAATTTTACGAGGAACCATGTGATTACTTATCTCACACAAAAATGGGATGCCATTGTTACAAAACAAACAGAAATTTCTTTACATTGGCAGCCATTGCTAAGCAATTTTCCGCCAATCATTTTCAAGTAATTTTGCCCGGGGCAATTACAAAAATTAAGAAAAAATGCCCTCTGTCTTGACCAATCACAATTCAGTAATTTTGCCCCTTGTATGAAAAATGCTTTAATCCCTAATGCCAATATGCATATTCTTCTCCATACTGTTCTCTATAGATTTCCTTTAAGGTGCAGATAAGGGGAATTTTTTTGGAGCAACTTCAGAATACCCGTCCACATCATTTACATATGTCGGGAGGCTTTGAAGAATGAGGTATAATACAATAGACGCTATTCTTATTCAATGATATGTAAATGATGTGGCCGGGTATTCTGAAGTTTAGCCATTTTTTTGATGATCAAGAGCTTCTTTAGTTAGTGATCATTTCCTTTATTCTCATGACCTTAATGTTTGATATTGTAAGGGGTGATATTGTAAGGAGAAATAACATGCTGGTCACTCTTTGGAGTCAATTAAGAGTTAACAATGGTAAAATGTAAGTACATCTGTAGGAGCAAGTTCTGGTTCTTTCTGTTTAAGTTGTACTTCTTCTTGTTCAGTTAGTTTGTAGGCATGTCCCTGATTGATTGAAATTATCAATGCTAACCCCACAGCAGTTGGTCACCATGCCTGGCCGGTTTGCACAGGCAGATCCAGTCGGGTTTCACTTAGCCGGCAGCTAGACAAAGAAAAATCTTCCCACCACAATCCTAACATGTTTGCTTTTCAACTTGATATTTCCTTAAATAGCTTTGATGCGGCCAGAACTCGACAACTTGGAAACATTTTAAACACATTTTGATCTATTACTATCTATACACCCCGTGTACGCGCAAATTGATTTTTTAAAATTTCCAAAACTGTCACGGCTACAGCACTCCTTGCTTTCATTTCCTTCATAGCATCATTCATGTTGTTACCACATTCAGTTCTTATGATTAGATCCTAAAATGTGGGAAGAAAATAGATAACTTACCTTTACGCGACATTTTTTCTTTGTTGTGGTCAAAACGAAGAAAACTTGCTCAAACGCAAACAACATGGACACCTACAGTTTAGCGGTGACATTTTGTATTTTGTATCATTAATTTTGATTGGTCTATCCATTTGTCCAATGAAAATTTTAAAAGTTAGGGGGTCATGGAAAGTAAATATCTTATGTTCCTGGGGAGGAGGGTAGGGGAGGTAACGCTTTCACTAACCGGGGGCTCGTAGGGAACCCTCATCATCCTAGCCTTACGGAAAATAAACGCGTGCAAGTTTTCCGCCTTGTACTTTTTGAATGCGGTTTTAGTTCTGTCTTTCATCTACGCCATCGTTCACGAGTGAAGAGACTTACGCATATGTATAACACGATTTTTTTTAGTAGTCACTGTTTTGTTTAAAATATTTTAATCAATGTAACTTGTCGTAAATTTCGCTAACCAATACGTTAGCTTGTTCAGTATAGTGCCGTTGAAAAATTGATCAAATTGAATTAAACTGAGTTTCCAAAAACAACCTTTTTCCCTTGAATATCAAAATATATATTTAGCCCTAAAACATCCGCGAAGGAAGATCGCTGAAAGGGCATACCTTTCCTTCTTTGATGAAGCGCTTTACGAGAGTGAGTTCGTGGCGCCTTTTGATTGGTTGACGCTAACGTATTTATTCTATTTTGGGAAACAAACATACCATATTTGGGAGATCTGACGAAATTTTCCGTAAAATTTCCTCGTTCGTGATTGTGTACAAAAGACCTCAGAAGATAGATTTCAGGGAAAGAAGCGACTCACGGTTTGAAATGGTCGACGAAGTTCAAATGGAATCGAAAAGCATAAATAGAGAAGCCGTCCTAAAATCACTTGTTCTTAACAATTCAACCACAGATGGCCAGCCTAGGAAGAGGAAAAGACTTGACAATTTGTCTGCCGAAGAGAGGGCTCTTCGAAGGTGGGTAATCCTTATTGTGAAAAGAACCAGTATGTTGAACTGTCTATAAAGGGCGATAATTCTCGAAGCAGGGTTCTGTTTTGTGTAGAGAGGATTAAACTTCGTTTTTGTTGTATCTAGAAAACTGAAGAACCGGGTCGCAGCTCAAACTGCTCGCGACAGAAAGAAGGCACGAATGACCGAACTTGAAGAACTGGTTGCTCAGTTAGAGAAAGAGGTACTTGTGAAGAAGCTTTTCCCTCAATTTCTCCATTTTTTTTTATCTCAAAACTGTCTTAGGTTGAATGTGGTAGGTTTAACTGAATAGGTTAATTTCTCTCGATCGTCAAAAATTCACTAGAAACGTCTCCCTACTTCCTTGGTCAGTTGCGTGAGTCGAACAGTTTTCATTCTCCCTTGTTTCATCGGAAACGGATGTGAAATTACGTTTCGGACTAGTGTTTCGTTTTGTTTCAAGTTGTCGTTGAAAGGCTGTTGATGAGATTATCTTTATGTCTTTCTCACCACTAAATTTATCACATTATTTAGAAACGTAATACTTCTCGATTTTGGCCCATCTCACCATCACTTTGAAGGGTCATTGTTGGTCGTGAATATAAATAGATTGTTTGGATTCAATATATTTTTCTTGTATGAAAGTTTTGTGCGTCATCCACTCCGGGTTGGTTAAAATTATGAAGAAAACATACCAAACATTTTGTTCACGGGATTGTGGAATGATACGGCATGCTGAGACCAATTGTTTTGCTGTTCCTCCCTGTAGGCTAATTAGATATTCCTCCATATGTAATGCCTTTCTGACGAATTTAAGTACCGCCTAATGTCTTTCCTTTATTTTCTTGCAGAATAAAACTCTTCGTTTGGATAATGAAAGTCTGAGAAAACACTCGGAAGCAGTAACAATCGAAAACTCAGAGTTGAGAGTTCGACTGGGTCTTACTCCCCCTGTGTCACCAGCTCCAGTGTGTACAAATTACCCATCAACCCCAGAAGCCAGTCCAGACACCAAACACAATCCAGTTGTGATCAAGAAAGAAGCAGAATATAACGAGTATGCATCACTCTCAGTTTCTCAGCAGCAGGGACGCCTGATTCTGTTTCTTTCTCTGATCACGACTTGGATGACGATCAACAACAGGTAATGGCGATGTATTATTTTATTTTGTGGGTAAAATTCATGCATGAACCATAGAGAGAGACTTGCTAGTGAAGTTAGTGACAAAATGCCTGAGGGAGTGAAGATTTTACTCACTTCATTGTTCTTGTCCACTGAAAATTTACTTAAACTTAGAAAGGAGGCAATATCCTCATTTGATGTTCCTAGGCAACACTGGTGAGGTAAGGGAATTTTGTTGATAATGAGAACAGCTGATCCATCACTAGTGGGATTTGAATATGTCCTTCCAGCTGTTTGAATTTTAATCAGTAATTATATTTACTTCACTTCCCATAAGTTATTTTTTAACCCCATTTTTTTTTCATCATGGATGGCTTTCAGTTTGCTCTTTAAGAGTGAGGGAGAGCAAATGAAAAACAAGGAAATAAAATGTGTATTAAAAGCATGATAAAATTATCTTGTGAAAGGCAAGATTTTAACTGATCATTTGGCATCTTTTCAGCATGACATGGATTTTGGCCTTTTTGAACTTGATGGGGAAGGAGACTCACTCACATTTATTCAGCCCAAACAAGAAGCCACAGCAGCCCCAACCTGCTGTCAACATGACACCAACACAGACTCAAAAGAGGAAGTGCAAAGCACAGATGGCACAGTCCCAGAATCAAGCTGCAGTGACATAACAGTAGCAGACTTGGTTGGAATGGACTGTGAGTCTTTGGACTCTTTGGATGATCTCTGGAACCTGAAAGATTTCTCCAAAGAGTTCAAAGACCAAAATGCAGAACCAGAAATGTTAGGGTGTGAGATGTGGGAGGAAACCTTCACAGAAGTACTGTTCCCATCCCTTTTGGTTGTCTGAGCATGTTATGTTAAGTGAGACTGTTGAGGAGTAGATAAGAAAAACATAATTGGCATCCACTATCAATTTATAATAAGCTCTAGGTTGTTCCAACAAGCAGGCACAACAACTAGGTGCTTTTTGGGAGAGGAGTCAGAGGAAAAGCTGGCTTGATCGAGTGGCCAAAATCAAGGCCACTTTACACCATGCCTACTGTGACATGCTGACTTGATAGAGTGGCCAAGTGGGGGTGAAAGTAAACAACTACTTGTCTTGCGAGATGGTCAAAGATCCAGCTGTAGAAAGAGCAACAGAATTCTTCCAAAACACCTTTCAACCATTATAAGAATTAGTAGGTCTTTCTCAGGGGAAACAAAAGTTTCCTTTGTATTTACACTCTGAATTTAGATTACTTTTATAAATATCGGAATGTTGATTTAGTAGAAGAGTGGTGTAATATTTGTATGCAAAATAACTTGGTAAGATATAAATAGAATTTGTATATAAAATTAGAACACAGTTCTGTGAAGGTTTCCTGGTAGGTTACTATTACTGTCAAATAGTAGTAGTCTTGAACTGAGTCATTAAAAAAGAATTGGGTGACATTGGTGCTGCTGTTTCTCTGCTATAACAAAAGTTTTGGAAACATACCATAACTGTATACTAGATTAAGGCACCACACCCTTAAAAGAAGAGAAAGATAAAAGAGAAAAAGCACTATTGAGGGACACCCCTAGTGAGTGTCGCATTTAGGAATGTAGGTTATATTGTCAAAAACAGCCTTGGAAACTCATTGCCCTCCATAGTTTTCATTCTGCAACACAAGTACTGGTAGTTCTCTTCCCCTCCACTAAACATTTGAAGTCATATCATGAAGGGGGCAGCAATATTGACCAGTTTTTTCGTGTGGCAAGCCGACACATTTTCACTGTACTCAAAGTTGGAAATACAATACTAAACAATTTTTTTTATCAAGGACTAGTGGCAATTTTAATAATTATTTTAGGACACCAGTTACTTTTGAACAAATATTCATTTACTAAAGAATGTAATTACATCCATGGAAAACCGGGTGCATGAAGTGGAAAATCCTTTCAATGGGTTCTTAGCCACAAAGCATTGGGTTTGCTTAAGGTGCTAGTCTACAGAATTACAGTACACATCTACTCAGAGAATTGCTAGACACATAGAATATCAGGAAAACAACAGCCAAAAGGTTTGAGGAAGGTAAACATAAGGAAGGATCTTACCAGACTGCCTTATAGTGAGGTTGGGCCACATATTCACCTCTTCCTTCTTTTTTTTTTTTTTTAACTTGAATCTCTATGCCTAGAAAATTAGTTGTGGCATGTTTAAAGTTTCATACTTAGAGCTATTGAAGTGATAGTACCATGGTGTAAAACAAACTCTAACTTGACAGTGTAAAAGAACTCCAGACAAGGCAAGTAACTTGACAAATTAGGGCTAAATATTTTCAAGTTTATCATTGGTAATGCATGTCCATCTTATGCATTTCTGTTTCCTTTCCTATTTTTATTCAAAGTGACTCAGTTTAAACCAAGGGGACATCATTTTAAAGATGCAAATTCACATAACTATAACAAGAAAAAATAGGTTTTAAACTGCTGGTGCAAATTGCTTTTGCTATTAATAACATGCAAACTATACTGGTGATCTATTAATTGTTTCTAACCTACGATAATAGTTCCTGATCATTATACTAATATTTTAGTAGGTAACAGTAATTGAAAGTTTTAAATTAATTGCATTTGAAGCATTCACTTGAGTACACAACAATAGTGCTAAATCTCAGTCAATCATGATGCATCAGAAGCCATCAGGGGTGCCAGGCTGTTGAAGGGCACCAATCAAGCCTTGTGCTGTGCTGAACAAATTGATAGGTGAGCTACCATCTGTTATCAGAGTAGACTTCAGCCCCAATGACTGCAGAAGTTTCACCTACAATGTAATGACAAGAATTCAGCCACTTACCAAAATTTTCCCCTCCATTTAACTCAGGTTTATTTATCACATTTTTTTATTCCCCTTTATCCCTGGCCTCCCATCAACATTTGGAAATAAACTTAGTACAGTAAATGTAAAAAAAAAGGAACCATAATCAAAGATTTATCACTTGTTAAAATTTTAGGAAGAATAGAGCACATTTCCACAGACTTTTGTAAAAATCGAAACAAAAGCAATGGTGGCAGGTGATTAAGAAAAAAATCATCATTATCACAAGAGCTTATGAGGAGAAAAATAGTATCATAATAAAAATTAGGCGAGAGGATGGTGTCAATTTCCAAGACCAATCACTCATCAAAAAGAAGCAAACCAATGCAGCCCTTTTTTAGAGATTCCACTTATCACAAGGCACACAACTTTAGCCAACTGGAAGCAATAAGTTACTGCAACACATACCTGCATCTCTGGTCCAGCTGTAGCTATTGCCTGAATTGTATCAGAACCAATAGATGACACCATGTTCTTAAATTTCTCTGTCTCAATGCCTGACATTTCTTTGGCCTTAGTTACATCTAATGAATTCTGTTCATGCTGGTACTTCAACTCGGCCTCACGGGTTTTACTCAGACGCTGTAGTTCTGATTCCTAAAGGGTCATTGTAATAAAACAAAACATGGATATAAATAAAAATGGTAACCATACATGCATGTAACAAGATCACCAGTAACAAAGAAGAGGGAAAATTTTGAGCTCAGCAATCAAAAAGAGAAAGATCTTGTTCACTTTTTCCCAAGTGTGGGAGAAAGACAATTACACCGAGTCACCCACAAAGAATTTATTGCATCAAAAGAAACTTAATATCAGCCAACTTGATTTATCAATGACTGCTAACCTAAGGTATTTCAATGGGAGGCATCCAATTCCTCAACTTTATATCCACCATAAATTAATGAATGTTACAACGGTAGCAATTAAGACAGGATTGTTTTTCCTTACGCACTTCCCAAGGAGAGATTCAAGAATGTGAGCAAAGCAAGGAATCTGTGAGGGGTCAGGCACAGGCCCGTGCAGATCTTGTGCACTCTCACATCACTCCCTGGATCAAATCTAATGCACTTCCCTGCTTGTGCTGCAGTACTGATAACAACAGCTGCTCACAGGCTTTCTACAAGGAAAATTTGCCTCTACTAGGAAAACAACTTTAATGTGGAGAAACAACTAGGATCATAGTAAAATGCTTACAGCCTCGATCTTTGCCGCCTCTGCCTTTAACTTTGCCTGCTGAACTGCAGCTTCCCCTTCAATGCGAGCTGCCTCTGCTCGTGACTGGGCTTCAGCTTTGGCTTGCCCTGTTGACTCCACTGCAGCACTCTGAGCTTGGAGTTCTAACAGTTCCTTCCTGGCACGTTCTGCTTCAGCCTCATCTGTTATCTTCTGTCTCTCCAGGCGACCTTTGGCTTCTTGTTCAAGTCTCTCTGCATCATGCCTTTAAAAAAAAATGAGAAGAATTCCATCAGATCATTGCAGTCTAATAACAGGTTCAGGTCCATGAAATATAATCAGAATAAGCCATGTCATACTATTTTAATTGATAATTTTCCTTATGTGTGAGTTGTGGAAATCTATATTCTCAGTTAAAAGGATAAATTATTATAAAAGATGAAAGAAGAAAGGCACTGATAGCTAGCCCAAAAAAAGGAACAAGATTGTAAACAGAAAGAAGATATTGAAATGGACTGAAAATGATAAATGTGGTGCACAATCCATGACATAGCCTCTTTAAAATAGTTCTACAATCTGCACAACACAACAGCTCTGTTAACCCTTCACTCCCAGATCTCATTAGTAATTCTCCTCACTGTCTGCACTTCAGTTTGTATTAACATTAGTTTAGAGAATTTGGTATTGGATCAAGGAATAATCTCCTCATTGATATTTTCTTTATTCTCATCAATTGTCTGCTTAATATAGCATTGAAATTGTAAGGAGAAATTCGGTCTTGGTCACTGATGGGAGTTATAGACAGCTTAAGTAGCTTCAAGCTAATGACCCATACACCTTGCTGTGGCTTCCTGAGAGTTGGTTGTTATCTCAATGGCCAACTGAACAGACTTTTGCAATGCATCTCGTGTACGTTGATCAACTGGCTCCACTGATTGGATGTCAATACTGGTGATGTTTAGATTATTGGCAGGGAAAGTAAACTTATTTCGGATTTTGTGGTTGTCATCTATGCCAAACACTGAAGTACGGATGATCTTTGCTGAGTTCTACAAAAGAAATTAATTTATTTTGGTGAACATTTTTGACACAGTCGATCTTTTGGTTTTAACACCCTCAGAAGCTTATTTTTCCAAACTTAATTCTTAGAGGGGATGCAGCAGCTGATTCAAAAGTAGGTTGAATAATCAAAAATTAGTTTATTTGACTTCTTTCAAATTAAATTTTGGAAATAGTGTGTAATATATCTTTTTAAACGAACAGTTCAAATGCACACTCAGTTTTATAGAAACTTCCCATTTGACTGGAGATCTGTTCTAGCTTTCAATTTCTTTTTGGCCTAAAATGTTAAAAATCCCTTGGCATACAGTCAACATAAAATCTTTCTTGACACTTTCTAGAACTTTCATTCAGCTTGTTTCTTCTAGTATCACATGATTGTCACCTAAACAAAATAAAATCAATGCAGTTTAGCAGGCACCAATTATAGGCTTTTGCTTATGATCTGCACCTTGTGAAAGTCATCAAACTGGACTCCAGCCACTGCACCACGGATTCTTGAAGCAATTGCTTTGCATGCATCTCCAACAAAGTCTGGAACTGAGAACAACTTGGCTGCATCTTTTGGCTTCTTCTCTCCAGTATCAAAGTGCCTGTTGAGGAAAATAAATTATATGCTAGACCATTTTTGTTTGTTTGTTTGTTTGTTTAAGTACTGACTGATCTAGCTAGTACGTCTATAAAATAGTCAGTATTTCTTTGACTTATCAGTCATGCCAGGGCCCAAGTTTGGACCTGTTGGTTCAGAATCCAGCGCATTATATAACACTAGGCCAACATGAACTACCCCTAGCTCAGAATAAAAATTAAAACAAGGTTGAAAGACCTTAGAAACTTGGGATAAACTTTGCTGCTATAACTTGAAAAGCCTTAACCTGCAAAGATCCACAACCGTGTCACAGAGTTGAATGATGACTCAACTAATCATTTATCATAAGAAATATAAAATTCCAATAACCAGTTGTAGGAAAGCTGTAGCTGCAGTCTTGCATGGTCAGCAGTCTCCACAGTAACGATATCAGTACAGAAGTCTGGGCCGAGGAGGAGACACAATGCTTTGATAACATTGGGTTTCTTTGGTTTTCCACCTGACAGACTGAGCTGAGTAAACTGCTCATCTGGGCACAGCAAAACCAACTCAGGACCAAACACAACCCTGTAGAGAGGAACCATAAATATCACGAATTAAAATGCTCCTTTGGTCTCAGTCGGAATTAAGTCACTTTTGGAAGTGAAAAGATTAAAGAATGCCAGTGAGTTCTGATCTACTAAATAAAAGTAATTAAAAACTTTCTGCCTTAGATTTGCCACTTTCCTACATAATTACACAACACTCAAATTAATTAGTTTAACAAAGTCAACAGTCAAACTAAATGATGTTGACACTTGCTAATTACCTGGCAGTCTTCTCTTTATAATCATAAATCTGTACTGCTGCATTGTGAGGGACTCTAAATGTCACAACTCTGGTTTTGTTCCTTCCAGTGCTACTTCTGGACTCACTTTGTGCTGTAAGTTAAATAATAATTTAACTCATGCAAAATTATAATGTACATACAAGGGAATTTCATTTGAGGATTGATATGAAACACATTTATTTCAGTGATTAACATATTGCTTACGTTCTTCTTGTTTACTGTTTTTAAGATCAGCAGTCTGTCTTTTAACCATAAAACATCAGTATGCATATTCTCCATACTGTTCTCTATACATTCCCTAAGGTACTGACAAGGAGAATTTTTTTTTTTAATCAAGAAGAGCTTCTTTATTTGGTGATCATTTCCTTTAATCTCATGACCTTAATACTCGATTTGAGGGTCATATAGTAAGGAGAAATTAGATGCACTTAGGGATTAAAGATTTAAACAATGGTTGTGTCAACATTTTCTGACACTTATTGTTAGTGTTGAATTCAAATGTCACTAAAAGAATATAGGAATGATGGATTTTAAAAGAGCAAATAACTTAAAGGTTGATTAATTTTCCAACTATCACAAAATCATTTTTTGATCAAGGGCTTTTAGTTATTACTGAGCTAAAAGCATTGTTGTTTCAAATTATCTTCACCTCTTGGTCCAGGGCGTCTTGATGAAGTTTGGTTTGGTTGTTTGTTGGAAGTTTCATCCCAGTGGGTGGACATGGATTGAAAACCTGGAAAGATTTTAGAATGAGATTTACCCTGGCTTCTTCTTCAAAAGTATTGAATTTGAACAGTTTAAGGTTTAAGTATGTAGCAAACAATATTTAATCAAATAATTTGGATATATCAACAAAGTTGAAATGGTAAAGTGGCCACCGTAACGATTACAAAAGCTGACGTTTCGAGCGTTAGCCCTTCGTTGGAGCGTTAGCCCTTCGTCTTTCGCTCCGGCAAAGGGCTAACGCTCGAAATGTCAGCTTTTGTAATCGTTACGGTGGCCACTTTACCATTTCAACTTTGTTGATATATCCAAATTATTTTGTTACTCCCACCGACGCAGCCCCAAACAGTTTCTTTCGAAACTATCAGCCTTTATTCATTAATATTTAATCAAAACTCTCCACAAAGTACAAGTTAACTTTGGTTAAGGTAAGATGCAGTGAAATCTATTAGGCCTGATCTGGTGAAGTTGCTTCAAGTATGTACTGGGAATTCATTGAGGATGACAAGAAATAACTTGGCTTAAGTATTTTACCTGATAAAATTTTACCAAAAGTCTACTTTCAAGAAAACATTCAAAGTTTCTTTCTGCTTTTATTACTACTTTGTTTGTTCTCCATCCTCCTCAAAACAGTTAATTTTGTTCCACCTTTGGGATAATCATTTAGTGTTTAGAAATTAAATCCACTTCCAGCAATAGATGATACTACATAAACACTAAGTGACAAAGGCTTCACCAGTTGACCATATGATGCTATCATCGCCTAATGCTGTCACTTCTGCTCACATTGCCATAGAAACAATCTTCAGCATGATCACCCAGTAAAAATTATACTATAACTGTATATAATTAATTTTTTTTGAGCAAGAGGGTTGAATGGGCAACTACTTTGTTCATGGTCAAGACATTTAGACTGAGCTTAGCAAGGTTGATACATTATAACTGGCTCACATCAACCCATCCCTTCTACACAGTGCTCTTCAGTCTCCATTACTCTTTTCTATAGGTTAGGGTGAGCGTGGCCAAGTGAATCTTATGATAAGAATGGTTAAGATAAATTCAGATAACCTGGTCACCCTTTTGAGGAACTTACTCAATTCTGGTGGTAAAAATGTATTCCTTGTGCCACGATCAGCCAGTGGATCCTTTCCTCCAGTAAGAAGTTGCTCAACTGTTGGAGGCAGCTCTTTCTCCCAGAGTTCTTCATCATGGGTCAACATGTAGGTTTGACCACACACAGCTCTCACCCTACCAGTCTTGATATCCCTCACATAAATTCCTTCATTTTCATCTAGAGGAATAGCTTTTCGTTGTGCAACAACTTCCACTTCTACCGGTGGAACATATTCAATTGGTCCACGGATCATCCAGCGATCACCAGGTCGTCTTGGCATCTCTTTCTACACAAAAATTTAAAAATTTAATTCAAATTAAACTGAATTCATTAACAATTTACAAAATTTGAAAGTAACTATTTAATTTTTTCTTTAAATTAACACATTAATCAGTGCAGATTTACAGTTTCTTATTTAGCACCCAACCTCAAAAAAGTGCCTTCCCTTCATTAAGAGCCACTCCTTTTAACCAAGCGTTTATCCGCAGAAATACAATTATAATTCAATTTCATTGAAGAACCACCATGCGACAAGAGGACAAGGAACTAGATGGACCCATCTGATTGGTTTTTACCTCATTAAAATATTTTGAAACTATACTTTCCTCATGATAGATCAATCAAGTTTGTGCATATATGCCCCAAATGAAAACTTCAATGTTAAATATGTCACTATTTTGAACTTTAAAGAAAAGGTAAGAGGCAAAGCCTGCATCCCAGCCAAGTGGTCAATCCAGGTTACCCTCTTTCCCTGGAAATTCCCCAGTACCCATATATACTCCTGGGTAAAGAGAGGCACTGTGAGAGTACAGAGTCTTCTTCAAGAACACAAAACATTGACCCTGATGTATCTCAAACCTGGACTTCTCAACGTGGTTTCAGTTCACGAACTGTTAGGCCAGCGCACCTCCACTCTTAACTGTTAAAGTTAGCATAAATCCTGAAAAAAGTTGTTACTAGTTTTCTATTTACCTCTTTTTCATCAACATCAAGGAAGGCCTCATTTGCTTTTAGAATCAGCCCCTCATCCTCACCAAGAATAAACACATCTTGGATACCTTGCTCAAGCTTTTCACCCGGCAATAGGAAGAATGACTTCTCTCCCTGAAGGACACAGCCACGAACAAAATTAATATAATTTACCTTTAGTTGTCACAATAAAATCAAATGGATCGTCTTTTGATATGCAGGTGACAATTATACAGATATGCACATAATAACATGATCCTTGCAGGTGGGCTGCAATTTCTTTATTTCAATTCAATAGCTCCATGCTACTCCCATTTGGAAGTTAAACTTGGGAAGCTTGTCCAAAACTGTTTTATTACATAGGCAAGGAAAAAACAGTGACATAGACTTTTTGTTCTTCATGTAGAACAAGTTTTATAGCTCCTAGTTTCTACATTAATCTACAATGTAGTAAGACTGTTTTCTTTTCCTGTCATCAGTTTCTCTTTTTTTTAGCATATCAAGGACAGATCCTTAATTTAAGCAGTCTCAAGAAATTGAAGGAAGGGTGTGCCCATGTCCTGTATGCCGTATGTAACCTAATTCTGACTTGTGTGCATGTATAATAATTTTTCCTTCCTTTTCCTCCTTTGCTTTAGGTAGTCACCTCGCATTCCACAGCAACAGTTCATATTGCACTCCTTGACAAGTCTTGATATGACTAAAAGAGGTTAGTTATAAGAAAGGAGAAAAATTGGCTATAATACCTTCACCAGCCTTTTTTGTCCCAACTGTGGTCTCCCATCTTTATCAACAGGATCAAGAATGACACAATATTGCCTGTTGTTCAGTGTTGTGATATCAACAACTCCCACAACCTACAAGATGGAACCAGATATGATTTGCAAAAATTTCAATTTTTAACTCAGACTGTTACCAGTTAACCCTTTAAATCTGATGGGTGTCCAGCATCTAATTCCTCTAGACACAGCATTACTGCTAAATCACTCATTAAGATCATGAAAATAAAGGAGATGATTGTCAACCTATAAGTAGCTATGATTTTTAAATGACTTCTCCTTGTCAGCACCATAAGAAATGTCCAGAGAAGAGTATGGAGAATATGAATACTGATCTTTGGGTGTTAAAAATTAATGCATTAATTAGCTGCAGAGTTAGCATAATTTTTCTTAACACATACCGCTGACTGCATAGTCTGGGTGATCTAATTACATTACCTCTTCATAGACATTTGGAATATGTGCCTCTGTGTCTGCCATGGTGATTAACCACTCCTCCCCATTCTTTCGTACAGCACCTGTATCATCTTTAAATGTGCGTGTGGATCGAAGGTGTAGAGCTTTCTATAAAAGAAGGAAATAAAAGAGACTCCAATGAGGCACTAGGATTGTAATGGAATATTGAAAATAGGGTATCTTTCAGAGATCTGCTTATAATAAGTAGTGACCAACACTATAGATTTATGGTTGGTGTTTGAGCTTATTTTGCAGCACTCAAGGACCAAACATGTTTAGTCTACATAACCTCTTGACATTTAAGCAATTTCAAAATACCCTCAGAAAAAAAAAAAACTAAAAAAACAAATATCTATTCAAAGTCCAACAAAGAATAAAAAAACTACTGGAGCATGAATTCCTAGCCAATCAAGCACTTAAATCAAAAGCTACTTTCAGCACCGATTGTATATTTAACAATTATTCCACGAGCGCGCGTTGGATATGAGATGATAGATAGCCAACAAGGCGTGTAGCGCCAAGTTGGCTATAATCATCTCGTATCCAACAAGCGCGAGTGGAATAATTGTTTTATTAACCCNAAGCGTTAGAAGCAAGTGGCTATAATCATCAATTAAAATTTGACACAACAACTAAAGACCAGAGGAGTACAGAAGGGAGAGGAAGACACCGAAATATAACTTGGTATAACCCACCTTTTAGTAAGAACGTTGCCACTAACGTGGGAAAAAAATTTTTAGGCATCGTAAAAGAATCCTTTCCGCCAGGGCACTCACTAAGAAAGATTTTTAATAGGAACACTTTGAAAGTAAGCTATTCGTGCATGCCAAATTTAGAAAGAAAAATCGACGCCCACAATAAGTCCGCCCTCGCAAATAATTCCCAATCGCAAGAAAAATCATGCAATTGTAGAGACAAACACTCTTGCCCGTTACGTGGCAATTGCCTAATTCAAAATGTGGTCTACCAGGCCACAGTTGAAAGTCCCTTGGGAACCCAAACGTACGTCGGCCTTACTGCGAACCAATTTAAAACAAGATTTAGAAATCATACAGCTTCATTTAGACATGAGAACAAAAGGAACGCAACAGAGTTGAGCAAATATATCTGGTCCCTAAAGGATGCTGAAACGGAGTTTTCCGTGACCTGGAAAATAATAGCTCGCGCCAGGCCGTACTCAAATACCACAAAGAGATGCAATCTTTGCATAGCTGAAAAATTCTTTATCATATGCAGAACAGGGGCGGGCACCCTAAACAAAAGGAACGAACTGGCGAGTGCGTGCCGGCACTCAACTAAATATTTGATAAGGCTGCTCAAACCACCTACTCAAAAGGATCGTTAGGCCATACTCAAATACCACAAAGAGATGCAATCTTTGCATAGCTGAAAAATTCTTTATCATATGCAGAACAGGGGCGGGCACACTAAACAAAAGGAACGAACTGGCGAATGCGTGCCGGCACTCAACTAAATATTTGATAAGGCTGCTCAAACCACCTTCCTAAAAGGATCGTTAGTCAACTAGTGTCTTATCCACCTGACGAGAGAGGACTTTTAATCCTTTTGAAACAGATCTGTAGTACCAAGTTTTAATTTTTATTTTCCTAAATAATTGTTTACAAAGCTCCCTATGATTGTAGAGCACTCTCCGATTCAAGGATAAGGTTTTTTTCATTTATACATTATACTATATATACTATATAATTATATATACTATATATATTTACTACATATATTTACTATATTAGATATAGCTCTTTGGCATACAAAGCTTTGCTTTCATGTCCAAATTGAGCACTCTATCTAGGATGAGTCATTGCTGCTGCAATTGTGCATGCTCACTAGTTTACACTAGTTTGAGCACTCTGGCATGGCTTAGACGATACCACAAAGGTTGGGTTGTTTGGGGTGAACGTGTCGGTTCTCCCCCATCCTAGCATCAGCACTGCACTGATGAGGCCCAGAAGGCCAAAACAGTACTGTCTGCAGTTATTATACTATATATATGTATTATCATATAAAGTATGACTTGATTTTCGTAGAACAGTGCTCAATACATAGAAGTAGAGCGAAGAATATATTGTGGGAGGAAAAAGACAAGTAAACTACAAGTTCATCCCTACAAGCCTGTTTCATGGTCGCCCACTCATCAGGGGATTGAAATCCCCTTTTTTTCATCAATCAAATATAATTAATTTTAACAAATTCTTGCTCCCACCTTCTCCGTCAACACATAGGCTTGGACAACATCCACCACTTCCTCATACGCACCAGGAAGGTAGGCACCAATCTTTTTGACAAGCCATTCTTCCCCAGCAACACGCAGGTCACCATCACGATCCTGTTTGAGAAATTAATTTTTAAATGAAGAAAAAAAAGGAAAAGATGAGATGAGATTGGAAATTTACCTTTCAACTTTTCTTTACTCATTCTCTTTGATAGAAGACAACAAATATAGAATGTGTTTTAGAAAGAACCATCAATGTTCCCCTGGTTCAGTTTGGTCCTTCCATTTATAGTACCGAAATTTATCATAAGATTGCTATTCACAATAAAATAATAAATAATATCTTTTAGTCCTTACTTTAGTTTCTTTTCTTGCCCTCAGTCTGATGGCTTCGTTTGGCTGGATGATTGTGGCAAGGATGTTTTCTACCACTTCAACCTCTTTCTTTGGTATATAAGTACCTGCAGATATAAAATTGTTTTGTTCTTTAATGTGGTAAAATTGTACTTAATGTAAATTACCCATTTTTAAATGTAACAATGCAATGAGTCTCTGCCACAATGCAACAAGTCTCCCCAAAGATATTCACTACTAACAATAAGTAGAAAAGTATGGAACTGATTTAACACACTATTTAACTAACAGTATCTTGCGATTAGATGGGGGATTTTGTGTTACACCAACATAACATCCTCTCACCGATAAGTTTGTCTCTTCCTTGCTTGTTAGAAAGATAACATATTGGAATCACAAAAGGTACAAATTAATCAATTAATACCGAGACTCAAATGGGTTAAGGTCCTCTTTGCAAGGGTTTTACATCATCATACACTTTCAGCATAGCTTTTAAATTTGTGATTTAATACATTTATTAACGGTATAATTCATAATTGTTCCTCTCAAAAGAGATATGAATCAGTATTACCTGGCCCTTCAAACAACCACTCATCCCCAGCCACTCTCTTCTCTCCTGATTCAGACTCATAGTCCAGCATTGCACGGAGTCTTATGGCAGAGTTAGCCATAACCACCCTTAGACCAGTAACATTTTGCTTCAAAACTTCACCAGGAAACAAAGGAAATGGGTCTTGAGCAAGACGAATATCCTACAACACATCATGACCAATTATATAATTAGGTCATCGTACACCACAGGGTCCTTTAGTTTTGATCCCTCTTCTCCTCTCTTCCCTCTTCTCCCTTCTTTTATTTCCCTCCCCCTCTTTCTCTTCCCTTCCCTCTCCTTCCTTCCCTCTCCTCCCTTCCCTTTTCTCTCTTCTCCCTTCCATTCCCTTTTTTCCAAAATTTAATTTTCAGGGTTTTTTTTTCAAACCTCCAATCTTCTAGAACTTTTGCTATGATCTACAGCTTGAATAAATTTCAATGTCAAACAAAGCCTCTCCACGTTTCAGCCCTCTATGATTCACTTTTGATATGCAATTCTATTCTTGTATAAATCTCAACATAAAAATCAGGACACAACTATATTGTCTCTGGTAAAAATTTTTTCAGTTGACCATATGGCTGACATAATCCCTTCCATAAAAAAATGGTTACATGAGCATTTTTCAAATAAATAAAATATTATCAATAGTTTGGACAAGCTTGAAAGTTCTCACTAAAGTGAGGGCAAGAAACACCCACGGGTGAACATTTAATCTTAAATTCTACTGGTTGCCTATTTATCTTTAGATCTGACTTTGCATTCTCCCTTAAGTTAACCATTAAACTCCCATGGTCTAATTGTTGTTTCTCCCCTCCTAGCTGCGACACATTTCTTTGTAACTTAGTTGAGAAATTTGGTGTTTAATCAAGACAACCTCTACATAATAGGTTTGAGTATCTTAATGACCTCTTTGCTGGATAATGTATAGATATTATATATATTATAAGGAGAAGTTACATCTCAATCACTTCTGGGAGTTATGGGGCTAATTCATTTTGAAAATTGGTTTTACGTTGAATTAACAGCAATACACAAAACCGCTACATTACCTGATCAGCATGGCCCAATTTGATCTGTCCATTGGAGTCTATAACCACACGTCCATCTTTATCCCTCAGCACTGGATTTTCCACAACACAGTAATGCCGCGGGGGAATTGTAATCATTCTTTCTGGACCAAGAATGACCTGTGTAAATGGAACAGAAAACAAGTCAGAAACATTACTGTATAACAACATAATTTATTCTAAAACAAAGCTCTGCTCTTAAAGGCAATGTATTATTTTCACTATTTTTTCCTTTATCCAAGAACTGTATGCACAATTATAAATCATGCATGAGGTTACGCTGAAATCTTGCCAATAAGACCATGTTATATGTTTCTGCTTCACTAACTGTAAGTATTTTACAAAAAGAAATCTTAACTGCAGACTGACATTTAGTTTTAAACTAAGTTCACTATTCCCCGTGTCAGAGAAAATTCACCTTACATCACCTTACACTTGTCCAACTGAAAGATTCACGAGCTTACCTTTTCATTGTCTTGACGGATGAAGGTTTTTGGACCAACTTCCACCTTGGTAACATTCGTGTTCTGATCCAAAACGTGAATGTAATAATAGGGTGGGATACGGTAAATACTCTCCTCATCATGAGGGGCAGGGCGTCCTCGTCCAGTACTCATGGCTTAGTCTATAGTTTTAGAAAGAAGGAAACTCCATTCATTCTCATACACTTTTTCCACCTTTATCTATATTTAAAAAACCCTTTGTTACGGTCGGGCACTGAATAGATCTTTTTTTTTTTTTTTACATTGCTGAAAGATTATCGAGAAATAACTGACAAGGTCACTAAATGAGTCGGAAACATTTTCGCAACATGGTGTGTATGTCTTTTCTTTTTTAAGCCTTTACTTGACGAAGGTTCGGATTCGAACGAAGAACTGTCACATTCATACGAGGTAATGTTACCTTAGTTTGTAATAAACGGTTTGTCGGTCTCCCATCTGATTTGTCCGAGCACGTTGTCTCATAAAAGTAGGCGAATTACCTGAATCATTCGCTTTCAAAGTAAGAGGGAAGCTTTGAAGAACTGAAAAATATTCTGCCTGTCTCCAAATTTGCAAGACCTGCAGTTTTGGTAAAGCTTTGTTTTTTAGGCATTCTCGAGCATTCACATGTTTCAAAGCAGCATACCGACTGAAGATTAATCGAAAAATCCACTGCTAGGACGTCATTTTCCAGTACAACTATCTAGCCTGTTGAAAATTCTAAAGGGAAAGGAGTCTCTTGTAAAGAACGACGCAAATGAGGTCGAGCTCACAGGTTTAACGTTTTAGCTGAGGTAAACAAGTTCGATCAACAAAATGTAGGTTGGAAAGGTTGGCTAATATGAGGAACATCTTAGGCTGAGTACGAAGTGTTCAAATCGGGATGTATCTTACCAATCTCTACTTACCTTAAATTGTTCTGTGCGAAAGCAAGGCACTGAATACTTCACTTTCTATCGCTTGGAAAGTCGAACCCGACTTGGTGTTCCTTATTTCACTTTCCTTGGTTCCCTGGTAGCAACCCCAGCCTCGTACCCAGGTCGTTTCTGGGTTTACCGGTAGAGCACCGCCCACCTACCGCCCCCAATAAGGCGAACGGGGTCAACCTGTCCTTGTTCGAAAGGGGTTTATGTATTTGCCCGTACATTTTTCCCTGATTTTCACAGTCATTCTAAGTTTTAACCTTTTCTTTTCCTTTAAGGTATAAATTCCGCCGGGCCGGGCCTTGAAAATTACCTTGCTACCTCTTTCTTGGGAAAGGGATTGCAAACAAGCTGTAGTCCGTGAGGACACCTCGGTCCGCTATGCTAAAAGTGACCAGAATTGACAGTGCGTCCAACACACAAACTTCTAAAGAGACAAAACCTAACAACTGAGGGTTCTTCATCCCGCAGTAACTTTTCCATGAACGGCGACCCTTCAACCCTACATTCTTTCCGCAACATTCCAGTGCACTAATCGATTGGGTGTCGTCAAGATAAAAACTGTTTATATTATCTTGGTATCGTAAATCCGAAACCAAAGGGAAAGATGCCAAGGAACCAAAAAGAACTCAAAATAAAAACAAGCAAACTTAATTATTGATGAAAAATGTGAGTGATCAGACAATTTTGGTTTAGTTCTGCATTTTTTTTTTTTCAGACGGAGGTTTTCCACACAAATCACAGAGCAAAGGGAGGCAACCCAATCGGCAATCTCTTACGACTTTCGATGTTCATTCGAAAACTGACGTTAACTGGGCGTTAGATTTAGTTACACACTTTGTTCATTGCAGTACTAGTTTAAGATTTTCCTGTAACGCGGTCAACTAGCGGGTTTAACCCCTCTGTCCAAGATTTATGGTAAACTGTTCAAATTTTTCCAGGTCTTCTTCGGCTACTGTGCTTGTATTGTGCGATAAAACTTTCAAGAAATCATCAAGTCTCACATGACGAGGTTGAATCTACAAGGGTGTAATGGAGAAAGCACCTTCAATAATAAATCTTAAGACAAAGGATTATAAACGCATTCTCAGTAACGCTTTCAACATGCCTTTAAGTTACAAAAGGAATTACTGTCAACTAAAGTAATCGTTATTTATTCTGTAAGTAACCTCTGACATCGTGCATTTTCCTGACTGAAAATAGTTCTAGCCAACATACTTTTTGAGAAGGAAGATCCCTCATGGATGAATGTATGACGCCGTCTTCGAGTTCAGAGCACGGTACGTAAAACAGATCTGAGAGGAAGAGAGGTGTCAACTACAAGCCACGTAAGATTACAAATAAATTACAAATCGATGTAATCAAATGGCAGCACTAGGTTTGAATTCACAACTTGTGGTTTAGGGCCACCTTCATGCCTTCCATGTTTCCACTTGTTTCATGTTTTAGCAACATAGTTAGAGTGCTATTCGACTGAGGGCCGTAAAGCCAGAATCAAAGTAATCGCAACAGCCAATCAGACGACAGGGAAATGTCATGAGCAGCCAATGAGGACTCAGAGTGAAAACGTGCAAACTGGCTGAAACGCGGGAAAACGCGGGTGACCAAGTCGTGATTGGTTTTAATTTTGAATCTGATTGGTTGAGAAAATGGTTCGAGTTTTTTAGGACCAATGTTTTCCATTCTTCTCATTAGCAGTAGCAGTTTTGTTTACTTTGGTTTTGGCCTTTAGGTACTCAATCCAAAAGGACTCTACCTCTAGATACCATCTCCAGCATTTTACCTTTGTTCATCTTCCAGCGAGTGGTGTTTTCAAGATCACGTAATGGCTCAAACATGGCATCCGAGGTGCAGTTTGACAAATCACTGCCCGAGAAGCCCCCAGTCCTGTCACCAAGTAGGTACCAATCCTCCGCAGTGAGCGATGAAGGAGTGGCTCCCAAGTGTATCTTCATTAGCGCGATACGTGCATCTCTGTGGTTAAAAAAAGATATTGCTGACTTTTGGAAATTGAAATTGAAATTTAATTCATCAAAAATTATTAGGAGGTGTAAAATGTTTGTAGACAAATAGAGGGAAACACATTTCTCAGATCATTCTTTAAATCACACATCAGTTACTATTGCAAGTAACCTCGTCCAAGGACTCATGAATAAAGGGGGTAAGTTTCTAAAGAAACTGTGGTGCTGCGTCGGTGGGGGTAACAAGGTAATTTGGTAATATCAACCACGTTGAAATTGTAAATTGGCCACCGTAAAGGGTTAAAAAGCTGACGTTTCGAGCGTTTGCCCTTTTAGTCATCATTCGCTCTGACGAAGGGCCAACTCGTCCAGGAGCGGTTTGAGAGTCACAAATAATAAAACAGGGAAATATGAGTTCCGTAAATTCGACAAGTTTACTTAACAATTTTTATCAATATAGGTTGTTCCATAAAGCCACATCGATGGATTTCCGATCCACACACATAAGAAAATACGTTCTATTCCTGTTTTGTTCGGGACACGAGCGTTTTGTTTTAGAATTGGGATGCCTTAAGGTTTCGCTTTCGAGCTTCTGGTTCTTCGCTTTCGAACGAGTTCGGGGTAATTCGTTCTCGACCTCGTTGTTCTTTGCTTTCGACCGTGTTCCGGGTTCACTTCGTTCTCAAACTCGTGGTTCTTCACTTTCGAGCGAGTTCGGGGTACTTCGTTATAGACCTCGTGGTTCTTCATTTTCGACTGAGTCAAGTTACAGGTACTTCATTCTCGACCTCGTGGTTTAAGGTCGCCTCTTTCTTCGGTCTTTGCTTTGGAGTGCCTCGTTTTAAAATAACTCGAGACTTACTTATCTGGTAATGAAATGTATATTCTTCTCTGAAATCTTCTAAGGAAGGCGGGGTCTAGTTCCCAAGGACAATTGGTCGCACATAGCAAGAAGAAGTGATTTATTGACGCCGGGATATCAGCCTCTTCCATCTATGATAAAAAAGAGAAAAAAAAATCCGAAAGAAGAATTAAATATAGCGGAAAACATGGGGCGTGCGTATATATGGAATTTCTCTTCGAATGTTCAACCTCGATCTCACGAGAGAGTGAAGCGAACGAGTGAGATATCGAGTTGAACACGAGAAGAGAAATTCCATAGCTACAAGTAACCATGCGTTACTCTCTTTATTGGATAAACACCACAGGCATTTATTGAGAAGAAAAGTCGACAGAGTAGTGCGAAAGGCGACTGACGTTCTGCAGCTGATTAGCGATGTCAAAGACACCTAAAAGGGGACTGTTATTCTACATGTGTGCAATCACGGCTTTTTTCAGGGCTGGATATTCTTGTAAATCACGGCACTTTAATTATATAATTAATTATAACTTAAAACAATTTACATTACATGATAGCCATTGGAACAATTTTCAATTGAATGTCAAAGGTAATCCAGGATTGCTTTGATTTTGTATCACTTCGCTCGGTGATTGGTCTGAAAACTTGTGCCACTCTCTCAACCCATCAGATGATAAACTAAAACCAACCGTGACATCGTTACCCGCGTTTTCCCGCGCTTCAGGCAGTTTCCTTGTTTTTATTTTGAGTTCTCACAAACTCATTCTGAGATTGTCCCTGGCTTTGATTAGCAGGTGTGATTATCAGAGTTTTAATTTTGGAGCTATGACTCGAATTAGACTGTGTACTGCCACCCCCTTCCCTCAGAAGAGAGGGACACCCCGATTTCAATTAGGAGGGTGAGAGGGGTGGTTTTACCAACGCGAAATTGAAATGCGCCCTAAAACCAATCTTATAGCAGACCAACATCTTTGCTGTCAGCAACGAAACGACATGGAAAATTCAAACTTAGAACTGTGGTAGCTCAGTGAGCGATTTACGAAGAAAACATTATTCGATTAGTAATCTCAAGACGCGAAGATCAATTTATAAAATCTACCAACCTGTTTTAATAACTCAGTCTTAATTCTCCGAGTGTACTCTTCTTCCCGCGAACTTCTTTTTCTACAGATACTATCAATTTCGTCTATAAAAATGACCTAGAAGATACAAGAGAGTATAACAAGTGCTGAAAAAGGCTTTTGATATAAACCATCACAAGGACTGCATTGAACAGTTCTACTTTGATTTGAACGGGAACAAATTAGTCAATAACCACGGTGTTAAAGATGCAGAATCGAAGTTTTGTTAAAGAAAAATCCGCGCTTGTGGACGTTTGACAAAGAGTAATATTTAGTTGCCGTAAGCATCCTTGATCAGTTTTTGCCAATGGAAACCTCGGTAGTATTTCCGTTTGGTGATTATAATTCAATGCCTTCGTTAAAAGGTCCTGGCAGGGAACACACTAGTTGCTAAGAGCAGAAATTGATATTGGGGAAGAAAATTTAAGGACGACTTCACGTATGCACTTTAAAGTACACCTCACCGTGAAATTTTGAAAGACTTAAAAACACACTGAGAGCCTGAAAACGTGGACGTATTTGTTTTATCAAGTTAAAAACTTCGCTAGAAACATAAAGGGTCAGTTATTCAAACATAGTTTAGCTGCTGTTTTCCAAAGCCGCTTCCTTAACAATTCTCAATTTAGCGCGACCTTTTATCTGAACACTTATTTTAATGAAAAGTGTCAAGAAGGCAAAAAGACAACAGTGAAAGGACAGTTATTTTATCAAATCAGCCCTCTTGTCAAGAGAGCCTGAGGCCTACTGATGGTGTAATATCTAACAACCGGCCGGTAATAAAAAATTGGTTCACCTCCATCGGTAGTTAAGAATAAGTCATAAAAGAAGCTTGGAAAATCTGAAAACTCTGAACTCCAAACAGTTGTTTAAATAGTATGAACAAGATCGCACAAATGTAGAGACCGTAAAGACCTCACACTGACTCGTGTGTTAATTAATCAAGCTATACACTCACTGATTGAACTTGTTGGCTCCTTGCATTTTGGAATAGCTCCTTGATAAGCCTTGTACGAAACCAGATAAAAAAGCAGACAATCAGCACGTCTATCACTCTATAAAGTTTTGTTTACAAATACTACTTGAGGACACCGCAACATTTAAAGTGCATATGACACGAATTTTTTTCTTTTGTTTCTTGTAGTTGGATATCTATAGAAAACGTTTTGAAGCTTTAAGAGCTTGAAAATGTAAAATGCATTTTTTTTGCTTTCAAAATACGCGCAATTTGCCCCGGAGACTGGGACCTAGTTTATCGCCGTAGAAGTTATTCATGACGTCACATTGTGTACCTTTGCCGCGAAGGTCTGTTGTCGCTAAGAGGATCATCTGCAGTTCTTCGTAGTAGATAGATAGTGCACTGAAAGGCAAAGATGTCCAGTGATTCTAATGATTCCTTTGAGTCCGACTCTTCTGAAAGTTCCATTGGCTTCGAAGAATCTGGGTACACAATGTGACGTCACGTGCGATTTTGGCCGCGCGATGACCGGGACAAATTTGAAGGTAAATTGCGCGTATTTTGAAAGCAAAAAAATGTTTTTTTAATTTTTTCCAGTACTTTTAAGGCTTCGAAACGTTTTCTATAGATATCCAACTACAAGAAACAAGAGAAAAAAATTTCGTGGACCGGGCTCAAGCATCACCATCAGCAGTAATGTGTTAGGATTGTATCTTTTTTTTTTTTTAAGTTTTCCTCTTGACCCTGGCTGTTCGAAGCGAGGATAACGCTATTCACTTACTACATCTTAATTCGGTAGATAGTGCAGTATGTTTCATCAATACGTATCCTCTGGATAGCGATTTATCCTTTGGATAGCGTTATCCATACTTTGAACAACTGGGCCCTGAAGGTTAACATCTTAGATTAGAGTTGCAGCCCTGAGCGAGTCACCTTTAGTATATGGCAAGGGTTTCAATAACAGCCGGTTACCGGCGGTCTACCGTCGCTTATAAGGCCTCTTACGACTCTCTGTTTAACCCATTAACTCCTTTGAGTGACCAAGACAGAATGTCTCCTTACCGTATCAATACAACATCAAACAGACAAGTAATGAGAATAAAGAAAAATATCAATGAGGGGATTATCGGTTAATCCAATACCATATTCTCCAAACTAACATCATAAGAATTGTACAGCAGGCAGTAAGGAGAATTACCTGAGAAGAGGTTCTCGTGTTTAAGTTTCGCCTTACAGAGTTATTGGGACCCCTGGTTTTGGAACGAACAAAAGTTTCCCCTCATAAAACCTCTCTTCGCTTGGGAGTAAATGAGGATACAGAAAACTGTCTAAAATGCCGACAAGGAGGAAAAGAGATGCTCACTTCGTATTTTGGAAACCAGCGAAGACCAGTGAAAGCTGTGAGCAGGGAACCCAGTTGAAACTTTGAAAAGCCCCAAATATTTTAGCTACTTTTCGTTAGTGTCTTGACGTGACTCATGCTAAAAGGAAACGGAACCAACTGCCATGCGGGCTAACCATTAACCCTTTCGCTCCCAAGATTTCATTAGTAATTCTCATTACTATCTGCCATACAATTCTTATGATGTTAGATGGGAGAATTTGGTATTGGATCAACCAAACTCCCCTTATTGGGGAGCAGGGATGGCGTAGTGGTGAGGGCACTCGCCTCCCACCACTGTGGTCCGGGTTCGATTCCTGGACCTGGCGTCACATGTGGATTGAGTTTGTTGTTGGTTCTCGTCCTTGCTCCGAGGGTTTTTCTCCGGGTCCTCAGGTTTTCCTCCCTCCGCAAAAACCAACATTCCAAATTCCAATTCGATATGGAAACAGTGGTCAAGAAGAGCCACCCAGTGGAATGTCCATTGCTAAATTATTTATTATTATTATTATTATTATTGATATTTGTCTCTTTTCTTGTTACTCGTCCGCTTGATATTGTAATAATATTGTAAGGAGAAATTCTGTCTTGGTCACTCATGGGAGTCTTTGAGTTGAGGAGAACTTTTTATCTTTTGTACATACTTTTCACTCTCTCCGACCCAACTGGATACAAGATCAGAACTGGACACACTATAAAATACAGAATTGATCTCTGAAGCCACAGCCTGCGCTAGTCTTGTTTTTCCTATTAAACAAAAAACAGAAGCAGTAATTTTCAGCTATGACAATAGAACAGTTTTCAATTGAGAAAACAAACCCAAAGTAATCACAACGAGCAATCAAAACAAAGGCTGACATCGTCATAAACCATTGAGAACTCAAAGCGTGACTACAAGAAAACTTCTTGAAGTGCGGGAAAACGCGAATAACAAAGTCGCGATTGATGTTAGTTTTGCATCTGACCGGGAGGGGGAATGGCGCAAGTTTCCTAAATAGCTAAATAAAAAAATGTTCTTCAAGCGCTCGGTTTTGCATATGGGGAGAGTGAAATCACTTTTGCGCCTCAGTGCGTATCTACAACTCTTCCTTTGGGGGAGGAGGCTGAGGAGTCTAWGGGTGGGGTTACGGACCATCTCGTCAAACAGATTGGTTGAAATCTTTTCTCTCCTCTCGTGAAGTTTCGGTAGGGTAAGGCCAGCTGTTTCCAGTGCTACATTATATGACAGGTCAGGATAGATGATTCTGAGTGCCCTTCTTTGGATCCGTTCCAAACCTTCGCTGATGTAGTTTGGTAGAGAACGATGGAATACAGGACTTGCGTATTCCAAGACAGGCCTAATACAGGTCACATAGAATTGCACAAGTTTGCTTGGTGCAACTCCGGATCTCTTGAGTTGTCTCAAAAAGTAGAGACGAGAGGAACATTTTCATTTGTTACTTTCTATAACAATGATTTGATACAAATCTTATAACTAATGCAACTTTAAATGTTCGCTACACTCAGGCTCTACTTGATCCGTTTAATTGCTGATTATTTTCGACTCTCAATTGAAAAATGCTCAAAACTTCGGATAAAGATCACGTAAACTAGGGTTATTCGCGTGGACTTTATTCACATTTTGTTTAACTTTTGTTTCCTTAGAACATGTATTATTTTTGTCTATTACTGCCTAACGATGGACTATTAATGACATAGGTTAATGTTATCTTTTAACTCCCTAAATCTGATATTTAATCCTCCCCTTTAGCTGCTATACATTTCCTTGTAAATTAGTTACGAGAGTTTGGTGTTACATCAATATAACTTTTATCTGATAAGTTTGAGTATTCTCATTACCTGTTTGCTGGACAATGTATGGATATTGTAGGGAGAAGCTACATGTTAATCATTTCTGGGAGTTAAAAGTTTAAACTGGAGTACCTGTTCCTGGTGGTCCATACAGCAGTATTCGCCGCCATGGCTGCCGACCTCCTACAAAACGTCACAATTTAGAAATATCTAAATACCTCTAACAACGATTGAAACAATCAAGGTGACCGTGAATTGCTTTAAGTCATTTAACTCAACAAGAGCAATAAAACAGTTTTCAACAGAGCGACTATGATTAGTTTGCTTTTACTTTATTTCGCTCTGTGGTTGGTCGGTCCAGAAGAACTTTCGTCTCTCTCTGTCAACCTATCAGATTCAAAACTAAAACCAATTGTGATTGGGTCACTTGCGTTTTTCCCGCGTTTTAAGCAGTTTGCTTGTTTTTACTTGGAGTTCCAATTGGTTGATGACAATGTCAACCTTCACTCTAATTGCTATTGTAGTTACTTTAGTTTGGGTTTTTCGAAAACTCGATTGAAAACTGCTCTTTATTTCATATATCCTGAGAATTACACTGTGAAGCATTATCGTTGGCGTCTCTGATTGACAAACAATGTATTTTGACGGTCGTTCGCTTCCAATCTTTAAAACAGTGTCGGTCAGTAAGGAAAAAATTTAAGTATGTACTATGAAATTAAAACAGCATTTGACGATTTTCATTCACTTGTTGCGATGCATCAAGAAACTCACCCGTCCACCACGCTCACTCGTTCTCTCTCTCTCTCTCTCTCTCTCTCTCTCTCTCTCTCTTTTTTTTTTTTTTGATGTGTCGCAACACGTGAATTAAAATCGTTCGTGCGCACTTTTCACGGAATAATCTCTATTTTCACATTATGTTTCAGTTTTAGGTCAATTATGCAATTCACTCTTAATCCCACAGGTATCAACGAACGCTTTTCATTCCTCTAATTTATTCGAGTTTTTCTCGTTGCCATGTTCCCACCAATGGCGTAGCTCCGCTTTCTGCATATAAAACCACATACAACCCACAATTCCACCATTCGCTCTGACGAAGGGCTAACGCTCGAAACGTCAGCTTTTTTATTCGCTACGGTGGCCAATTTACTATTTCAACTTAGTTGATATAACCAATTACCTATATATAAAAAGACGTTCTCACCTGTAAAAAAGTGCGGAAATTGTAGTGGTGTAACAATAGCTTCTTTCAATGCTTGCTTGGCATCGTTAAGGCCAATAACATCACTGAATTTAATAAGACCATGAGAAACAATTGTGTCTTGAATTGCAACTTTTCTCCTGAGAAAGATCGAAAAACAGTTATGGGTATCTCTTAAATAAACATAAAAGCTTACTTGTTTATCCCCAACTACAAGCGGGTTAGGATGAGTTTCACAAAGAGAGGGGCAGAGGTGGGGTGGGTTGGTATTCTATTGAAAGCAGGGTTCTACCAGAAGTTACATCCAGAAAGCCATATTTTGAGCCAATCATTTTTTAACTCCCGATGTGATTAATAAGAAACTTCTCCCTATAGTATCTATACATTGTCGAGCAAACAGGTAATGAGAATACTCAAACTTATCAGAGAGAGGTTGTTATCTTGATCTACAGGTACACCAAATTATTGTTGCTAATTTACAGTACAAGGAAATGAGTAACAGCTAAAGGGTAGAATTTTCAACGAGATCTCGGGAGTTAAAGAGTTATGAGCCATCAGAGCTGTCTTTTGAGTTTTTAGGGTTGTAAAACAAATAAAAGTAACATGGAAGTACAATTGGCCTGTTTCTCCTGACTAAATTAGGCTCATAATTTCAATGTATCAACAAAGTTAAAATGGTAAATTGGCCACCGTTACGATTATAAAAGCTGACGTTTCGAGCGTTAGCCCTCCGTCGGAGCGAATAGAGGAATTGTGGGTTGTGTGTGCTTTTAAAGGCAGAAAATGGAGCTAATTAGGCTCACCTTCTACAATCACTATTTTCACTTTTCACTGGATTCATTTCTAAAGGGTAAAAGAAATTAACATTTGATTTCATGTTGCTGTGGGTCTGTTCAGTAAAAGATCATAGATGACTTCAAAATGTGATAAGAAAAAAAGAGTGCCCTTCCTGTGACTTCAAAATGTGATAAGAAAAAGAGTGCCCTTCCTGTGACTTCAAAATGTGATAAGAAAAAGAGTGCCCTTCCTGTGACTTCAAAATGTGATAAGAAAAAGAGTGCCCTTCCTGTGACTTCAAAATGTGATAAGAAAAAGAGTGCCCTTCTTGTGACTTCAAAATGTGATAAGAAAAAAAGAGTGCCCTTACTGTGACTTTGAAGTACTTTGTTAAAAACAATTTAACACTACATGTAAAATGTTACATACCATGCCACAGCATCTGTGAATTAGAAAAGAAAATGACGAAAAAAAGTATCATGTTGAAAAGGACTGACAACAAAATCCCAATGTGATATTTAAATTGGTCATAATTAACAATTACTTTCACCTTTTAATCAGAGCAACCATGAAGCTTGTAAGTCATAGTTTAAAACATAACTATTAAGAAGATACATTAAAAAATTATGCACTTCCGCTTGGCTAAAAACAAGTGCATTTTTCATGTAACACCAGTCCAAAGTTGTAACATGAGTGCAAATTACAAATAGCATGCATGCTGTCAAAATTTCGTCTGTCTTGACTTTATTTGATGTAAATAACCACTTTTGCATTTTTCAAAGACTACAAATTGCACTCACCCTACAAGCTTGTGTAATTTTGTTGTCTTCAAAAGGTTTATTTGTGCTTACTAACACCAGATTGTGCAAGGAATCATGTCATTACCTATACTTAATCTGAACAACCATCACTGAAGCTTTTAAGTCATAGTTAAAGCTATAACAGCTCATTAAATAATGTATTGAATACATTTACATTGGGTTCATAACTTACCTAATATATTTTCAAATCTTAGCAGAAAGCCGCATGGTCGTATTATTAACCTTGTTTAATGGGTCAACGTAGCCTCCAAAAAAACTAAGTGAGCTCAGTAAAAGAGTGTGATAAGAAAAAAAAAGTGCCCTTCTTGTGGCATTGACGAAGAAACCTATGCAAGGAGAAACTACTTCCTTTCACCATACATCGAGTAATAAAACTAGTGAGTTTGTAGGGGTCCCATACTTTCATAAGTTTACAAGGGATTCTTGCAGAACTTTACAGACATCCTAAACTGGGCATGATAAATAGATATTGATTTATCATGGTTTTGTATCCATGCAAAAAATATGAGAAATGCCTTTCACTGATTGACATCATTCTTCAAAGCCATCCATTCTCAAGAGATGAAACCAGGGGGTGAGAGCTTTCACAACCTACTACACTCAAACATTAGTATGCATATTCTCTATTATCTTCACTGTACAGTTCCTTTGGCATTGGCAAGGAGAATATATTTTATCATCAACAGCCTCTTTGTCTGGTGATCATTCTTCTGTATTCTCCTGACCTTAAGGTTTGATTCAGCAATGATACTGTTAGGAGAAATTAGAGGCTGGTCACTCTTTGAAGTTAAAGGTTAAGGGGTTACCTGAGTCTGAAGTGTATCCATAGTCAAGCTGCCTCTTTTTCTTGTGAAGTGTCTCAAGATAACTTTCCAGTGATATAGAAATTTCCTCAAGGGCATTCTAGAGGTCAAAATGACAAGTAAGTTTTAAAAAGATCTTAATTGCAAGGTCACAGAAATATTTGAGCAATAAAACACAATTATCCAGGCTCTATAATGTTATAAAGCCACATGGGATGTTGGGAGAACACATGGAAAGTTTGTAAATCACCTTGTGAACAATGAAAACAAACAAGGAACACTCCCTTGTTCTTTTTTTTTAACTTCTCAGCTAGTATTACACTGTTTACTATTGCCCCTCATTTTACAAAGTGAATTTTATTTCAATTCAAAACAAGGAGCTTAGGCCTGTTCCACACATTCAATTAGTAAAACAGAGAAAAATAGTTAGCAGCTCAGTCGTGGAAGCAGAGCAAAACAAGGGGAAGATTGGGTAGGGTCATGTAGCTAGAGGTGATGTTATGTGACCTGACCCAAAACTCCCTCGTTATTTCACTCCTTGGCTAGTATCACATCATTTCCCATCCCACTTTGATTTACTAACGGAATGCCTTGAACAAGTGAAAAGAAACTCAAATGTAGTTTGTATGAGGGGGGTGAATAGGCTAATGGATTGACGGATTCTGAGAATTATTTTGCCCGGGTTTTGGATTTAGAGCAAAATTTTTACGGATTTGTAGATCCTGAAATTGCAACGGTTTGAGGTTTCGTCGATTTTTTAGGTTCGGATTTTGGATTTTGCTTGTGAGGAAGTTCGGATCGTGGATCTGAACGATCGTCAGAAATGCGTTTTTATCTGAGTATGTGTATTTTTTTGTCATGGACGAGACTCTCTGCATGTCACGCATCAGTAACGCACTGAGACGTCTGCTGTGTTCGCGCCCTTATCCATGACACTGTACCCCACCGATTGTGATTCGCTCGATGGGAAAGCCATTACGTAGCTAACACACAACAGCTCAAGGTGCGTTTTCCACCTTTTTATGAGACAAGTAGTGAACGGATTCAGATTTAACAATATTTTTTAACGGCTTGACGGATTTGGTTATCAAATCATAGCGGATCGGCAGATTTGCATACCCCTATTCACCCCCCTCTTGTATTACCAGTATAAGTGAGTCTTCCTCCATTGGTAAAAGCATCTGAATGCACTGCGATGTGTTCTTACAATCACTTATTAATGAATCAAGATTAACATGTCCCATTTTCTGACTTTCACAAACAGCTCCTTCTAACCTACAAGGAAGAAAAAAATTAAATAGTAAAATTTTATGAGCCCAATGTGTTATCTTGAGGATGTGCAGGTTTATTGGTCAGCTCTCTACACAAAGGGTCAAGAGGTTCCCAGTTAGATAATTGAATTGTGTTCTTGAGCAAGACATGGTACTTTCTTGATAGTACTTTCCAGTCATGTTACCAGGTACTCACTGATACTCCTGAGTAGAGAGAGAGAGAGACTGCGAGACCACAGTGCCAGGCCAAACCCCTCAAATGTAAATCCATCATTCTGACCTGTATATCACCAAAGCTTCCACCAAATGGGCTACTTGAATGAGTAAAGTGTAGACTTCACATTTGTGTTAACTTTACTGGACAGCCAATACTGGGCCTTGTTATTTAAATGAATAAAGGCTGATAGTTTCGAAAGAAACTGTTTGGGGCTGCGTCGGTGGGAGTAACGAAATAATTTGGATATATCAACAAAAGTTGAAATGGTAAATTGGCCACCGTAATGATTACAATAGTTTGTAATCATTACGGTGATAATTACAGTAATAATTGGCCACCGTAATGATTACATAGTTTGTAATCATTACGGTGGCCAATTTACCATTTCAACTTTTGTTGATATATCCAAATTATCTTGTTATTTAAACATACCTTTAATTACTGCTATGCGTACTCTGCTCCCAAAACCTATGTAAATTATAGATTACCCACAAGGGTTTACTTGAAGTACTTTGTTAAAAACAATTTAACACTACATGTAAAATGTTACATACCATGCCACAGCATCTGTGAATTAGAAAAGAAAATGACGAAAAAAAGTATCATGTTGAAAAGGACTGACAACAAAATCCCAATGTGATATTTAAATTGGTCATAATTAACAATTACTTTCACCTTTTAATCAGAGCAACCATGAAGCTTGTAAGTCATAGTTTAAAACATAACTATTAAGAAGATACATTAAAAAATTATGCACTTCCGCTTGGCTAAAAACAAGTGCATTTTTCATGTAACACCAGTCCAAAGTTGTAACATGAGTGCAAATTACAAATAGCATGCATGCTGTCAAAATTTCGTCTGTCTTGACTTTATTTGATGTAAATAACCACTTTTGCATTTTTCAAAGACTACAAATTGCACTCACCCTACAAGCTTGTGTAATTTTGTTGTCTTCAAAAGGTTTATTTGTGCTTACTAACACCAGATTGTGCAAGGAATCATGTCATTACCTATACTTAATCTGAACAACCATCACTGAAGCTTTTAAGTCATAGTTAAAGCTATAACAGCTCATTAAATAATGTATTGAATACATTTACATTGGGTTCATAACTTACCTAATATATTTTCAAATCTTAGCAGAAAGCCGCATGGTCGTATTATTAACCTTGTTTAATGGGTCAACGTAGCCTCCAAAAAAACTAAGTGAGCTCAGTAGAAGAGCTTCTTTTGTCCAATCAAGTATAATTTAAGCCAATACGCGGGAAACTATTTATTTAATAGTTTACATTTATGAACTCAACACGCGCAATTATTTATTTAAATATTTTAAATATTTTAAACTTTTTACGTTTGCCACCTTCGTACGGTATAAAATTTTATTTGAAATTTGAAAAAATATCACACCTTTGTATGGCTAAGGGCGTGTGCCAAACCCAGCGTAATACATGCGTATGCTAATACCATCAATTTATGAATGTCATTTAACTGGGTAGAACTGACTTAGCATTTTCAATAGTTACTATTTAAACCACGCTCTTACTTGCTATAGGGACTCTGTTTCCTAATAGTCAAGTTTGGGTCGCCGTTTAGGCTGATGATTTACTTTTCAGTAAAACACACTCACAGAGATGAACCTGTTCTGTTTTGGTCTAATAGACTATGAGAACCACAACATAATGACTTAGGGAGACATTAAGTTTAAAAAAAGGTATAGCAGAAACTGAATACGAAGAAATTTCGAAGGAAAAATTTTCAATCGAAGCTAACTCTAGAGAGAAACCCTACTGATTCTGGACATATGAAGTCGAGTTCTAATAGCCAGCTGATAAATGACACCATTAACGAAACAAACCTTTCTTCTCTTATTTCGATTAGGAGTGAAATTATAGGTTTCCATAACTCGAAACTCTGCCAGTTCATTGATTCCAAATTTATTATCACGTACCGAAACTTTGTCATCACCACACACCATTTTTGAGACCAAAGCAGTTATTTCTTAACCAGATAACTCCTTTTTATAACGACGAAACCTCCTACCTGCATAAATGTCCAATTTATTCATATTGTCAATGCAATATTCAAGACATCGTGAGTTTTTCGCTTGGTCCCCTCTAAATACCCAAGATGGCGGGTAAGCTCGTTCCCAGGGCACTCTCTCGATATTGGATAACAGTGACAAGTTGGGTCCATCGTTCCTGGTTACCTCCGGTAAGGAAGTTCTTTGGAATCGCTGCCAAAATTTGACTAAACTTGGTTTCACAAGAGACTGAAGAGTCTTTAACTCACCAAAGCTAAAAGATTTGTTAAAGCTGCTTTGTTTAACATATATGTTCTAAAAAATTGTTTTCCTCAAAGAAGTTGCTTAGACCAATGTTTGGTCACTTAAAGTTTAGCGAAATGAACATAAAAGTTAATCATCACTTGAATCCCTCATAAAATTCAGTTTTTCAGTTTTCTGTGGCTAAAATGCAGTTTCACCTGGTTGAACTTAACAGCGTTGCTGGTGTGAATGTGGCTTTAGCTGGGGCATTTCCAGTCGTAGTACATTTGAGCCACTGGTGCACAGGCCTCATAATGTTGGGTGTAAAATATCGTTAAAAATTGGGTGGATAATATATTCATAGTCTCCGATAGCCATCATGTTGAAGGAACAGTTATGTTTGTTGCAGAAAACGACTCTTAACTAGTAGTGTTTCCTTTCGTATCAGGTATGTTATCTAAAATCCTATAAAGCTTAGCGTCTCAGCTTTGGAGTCACCGATCGCAAGGATCGCTTTCAATTTATAATTGTGGAAAGAAAACTATATGGTTTCTAGAGCATAATTCTCCTTTAAACAACCCCCCCCAAAAAAAACTTTTTTTCTCATAACTAACTTCATAAGAATTGTATGGCAGACACTAAGGAGAATCACTACAAAGGCATAGCCGGGGGAGGGGTTCCTGGGGTGCCCATGACCCCCCCCCCACTTGGTAGGCCTTCTTTTGAGCAAACAACCTTCCGTTTTATTGAGATGATTTGGTATCACC